TTGCACATGTCGAGGAGCGTGTCAGGCTACATTTCACTGTGTGTTATACTTGTATAACTATGCATGTGACAAATAAAGAACCTTGAACCTTGAACCTATTTAAATGATACTATAGAATACTATTTGTATTCTTATTTTTCATCAGCTAGATTTGTAATGTTTTATGTATATTTATATAGGATATATTTATATAGGAAAGTGTACTTTCCTATATGCTATTTAAATAAAGATTTGTTTGCTGTCTTCCATCTCTTTGGTCATTTCTCTACACTGTATCTATAGCAGACGAACCAACCTGTGCACTGCCGGGATTGACTACAAAAAGGCCTCGGACTCTCTGCCCCTTCATCAGGAATTGGATGGGAATGTGCAGAATAACACTAGAGGCCAACTTCAAGCACAAGTCACCATAAGTGTGGGATCTACCAAGAATATCCTTTGTTCTCACTGCTGCGTAGAACTGAACCCTCTCAGCCATTAACATTAACAAAACTGGCTGTGGATGCAGACTACAAAATGGAGGACTTGTTAGCCACCTCCTCTAAATGAATGTCATAATGCTGTTTGCCAGTAGTGAACGAGGTATCAGTTCATTGATCCACACCACTAAGACCTACAGCAATGACATGAGAATGTCATTCAGACGGGAGAAGGTAGTCAGAACTGAGGGGATTGCACTACCAGAAGACAACATCGCAGACATAAGAAAAGCTACAAGTACCTTGGAATCCCACAGGTAAATGGGACCCATGACGAGGCTGTTAGGAAAGCCACAACAATGAAATACCTACAGAGAAAAAGGCCTGAGGAGTCAGCTAAATGGGAAGTACAAAATCTGGCCAACCAACACATATTGGTCTTTAGATACCCTTTAGATACCCTGCTGGGATAATAAGTTGGCCAAAGGAGGAGATAGAAGCCACTGACATCAAGGCAAGGAAATGCTTTACTATGCATGAGGGGTTTCACTCAGAGTCCAGCACCTTGAGGTGTACGCTAAGCGGCAGTAAGGTGACCAGGGACTAGTGAGTGTAAGAACCACTGTCCAGGATGAAACACAAAAAAATCCATGAGTACACCAGGGAGATGGCCACAACTGATCGGGTGCTTGAAAACCTCAGTGAATACCTCAAGGAGCAGAAACTGGAGAAAGAAAAGGAGCACAAAGAACCTTCATGGAAGGTTACTTCCATCTAGCCATCTCAGCTGAATTCATCATATATAGGCTGTTTCTGAGTGACATTGCCGAAGGATAATATATGATTCAGATAGCTTTCACAACTCTTATCATTACTCTTACTCATAGCTCTTAAAGCTACATTTTGTACCATAAGTGTGTGGATTTTTTTGCCATTACTTTAACAGCCAATTACAGTACGGATTGGAGGATATGTCAACGCACACCGTCATTACCAAACACAGGTTGGACACCATGGAAATGTTTCTGTTTTTATTTCTTCATTTTGTATTGTATTCTGTTTGGCCTAAGTATGACCACCAGCATAACATGACAAAAACAAAACAATAAATAAGATTCATATCAGTTTCAAACAGATTTTTTTCCTTCTTTTTATTTATTTTGTTATTGGTTTTACATTGAGAGCCATTTATGCAGAATCCCTTATGCAGTAGATTGTTAATGCCTGTAAAGTCTTTAGCATTGTTTCAGTTAAATCTTCATTATTTTCAGATATTGATACTATTTTTCCTGCTACAAGGAATGCTCCAGTTCCACATTTCACACAAGCCTTAAAATTCCTAATTCCCTTGATAATTAAAAGAAAAAAGAAAATATGCAGAAAGTATGATATATCGAGTAAATATTGGTATGTATGCAGGTTTTTTTATTTGTTTTATATTGATACCTTTTTATTGTACCTCGGCTTCAGACAGACTCCAGTCTCTTTTATCTAAATTTGGATTTCGTAAGCCCAATCAGGTCTTGAAAAAGGTGTTTTCTGAGCCTTTCTGATGCTTCACAAGGTGTATCAAGCCTTTTGGTTTTCTTCTAATAGATAATATAGATGAGTCCAGATAGAAGATAGATGAACGTGATAGTTGTTGTTGGAGCATCATCACACAAATTGTTATTACAACAGCTGACGTTCCCAAGATTCAAGACAGGGAGATTTAAAAGGCTGGCCACTGCTGTACAGATGTTTTCAGACATGCAGTTCTTGACTGGAAATGAAGTGCTGATACCTGATGGCACTGTAGATAAAAATCATCATTTCAGATTTTAATCTATATAGAAATTTTTTCGTCAAGAGACTTTTTCCAGGCCAACCTGGTGAATACAAACACGTTCTTAATGGGTTATATTGACTCAGCATACCATCTTGTGGTACAAAGTGGTATTACATTAAACTAAAAACACCTGACCAGTGTAGAAATGTTTAGCTTATTTTAGAGTTTAGAAATGTGTTAACATAGAATGTAGAATTATTGTAGAGACACTGACACTGCCCTCAATGTAATAAAGGCCTGACT